TTCTCCTTTCAAATAAGATTTTTTGTTATCTTCATAATGAATAAACAAGTTTTCAACAATAGCAATTTTATTAATTTACTCTATCATTGTCTTAAAAATAAGCATTTATGTTTGAGGTCATACAGCTTTGAAAACGAATTCTTCAAAAAGATAACTCTTCAGTGAACCTATCTTTTTTGTGTCTGAATGGGTTTATTCCGTTTACTGAGATAAAAAACTAACATCTCGTTGAGAAACATTCTTCATGAAGACCCCAACTTATTCATCTTTTGGTCCCTACTATATCACATTTTTCATTGATACAGCAGCTGTTACACAGTTTTCTGATGAGATACTTTATAATCTGTTACGTGGTCACAATTTCGCTCTAGACACTAGCACTTGCACCAAACCATTAACATACATTAACTGTGCTATCCACACAAGTTATTAACAACCGTCTTTTTACCGGAAAAAATTGTAAACACTAGCTATGCTTGTGGGTATCAGTGCCAAGGTTGAACTTAATAGTTTCAAATAAATTGAGTATTGGGTTATGTATTTACTCTGAAGAAGTGGCTTAAACCAAGTTACGAAACGTCAGTAGGACAATTTGTTACCAGATATGCTTCTTTAAGGTAGAATACCGAACAACATTTTTTATTCTGCTAGTCCTAAATGCTTACTCTTCGAACTTTATAGATTTTCTGGTAACAAATCTTTTCCTTATACAAAACGCATGGAACAACTGGTTAGGAATAATTGCGCCAGCTGATATCCGGTAGTTAGTGAATAAGGTTTTCTCTCAAGAATTTGGGAGACACATTTTTCCAACTTTTAGTGGATATAAGTCTTGTATTCCTAAAGGAATGACTTTCATTAGAAGAAATCTCCTGAATTTTCATCATTGCTTTACAGATTAAACCGTAATCTCAAATAAATCTATTACTTTTTCAATATTGCTTTTATCAATGTGAATTAATTCAATATAGACACAAATATCCTCAAAGCGATCATTGAATCGCTTATTAGGACTCGTCAATATATGATATTTTTTACAATAAAAACTGTTCGATTTGCTTTATTTGTTTTCGGATATTAAAGATTTCCATTGTGAAAATTAGAACAACACAACAACAATTGTTTTCAATTAGATCGTCATCAGGCTTTACTCTAATATACATGAATATTTATACGGAAATGTTAAACCAATGAAGGCAACTTGAGTCAATAATCACAATGAAATAAAATAGGTCATTCTTAACATTCAGTTTAGCCATTATCTGTGAAGTTTACCAGAATTTCAGTAGTTAATGAATGTATAAATGAAAGCGTAAGATCACTTGTTTGACTTTGGTGGCCTGCTTGAATATCTGGGCTACCTGTTCCTGCCATCTAAATATTTCAACAAGTCATTTCTTTTTTTTGCTTTAAAACATCTTTACGTCTAATGATCGCATAACCTATTCAGGTGCATTTATGAGAAGTTTGCGACCTATCACCTAACAAGTTACAAAATTGTACATTCAGAGAGATCATGGTGAATGGCAATATGCATTGAAAAGAATGAACATTATTCAAATGTCGATTCCTGAATTACTAATATGTAACTTGCGATGACTTAATATTCATCATCAGGATCGATCAAGAAATAATAATAATAATAATAACAAATATTAAGCTAGAAAGGTTTTCACTTTTTGTTTCAGTTTCGTGTTAAGCTAACAAAAGAAATTAGATGGAACTTAATTCCAAGCATTAGAAAATCTCAAAAGAATACTAATTAACCATGAACTATAGAAGAAAGAATATCAACTCTTATGAGAAGAGATAGATGGTTCTAACAGAGAAATTAAGGAAGTGAGTCTCATCCTATTGAGGACTCATCAGTCGGATATACTTTGATCCCAGAGTTGATGTTTACTCTGGAGTTTGTACTCAGTGCCATTCATTATAAACCACCATGTTATCTACTTAATTACTGAATTTAGAAAGCCACCACCTTGTGCAATCAGGTGAAGTTTAATACATCTTTTACTGATTGTTTGGATCTTCACATTGATATTTAGGACTGCATTGGTATATGTGCATCTTGTGTGGATTGCCCCATTATTATCATTAAGTCACAATCACTATAGGTCGTTATGAATTAACTGTTTCTTTAACCATTAATAAGATTTTCATTTTTTGTCAAGTTACCTATCTGTTAATTAAATTAATATCAAAATCAATGAGACGTTTGTAAAGCAGCAAAATAAATGATCACATACATTACTAGAAATCAGCAAAACTATAGAACTCAACTATTTAGTTTTGCTTTAGTTAAAGCAGTTAATCAATTGATTTTGTGAATTAAATACATAAACTGAATTATTGATTAATTGATGTTAACTAATCCCCGTTCAATACATTCAAATTTAATTACTGTGCAGATATTTAAAACTAATATATTATAGCAACTATTCTATAATCTTATGATTTTGGTTAAGCCCTTTTATTAACTTAACAGACAATGTTATTTGAACAATAACAATCCGCATATTTCTTCATACTATTATGATCACCAGATCACATGACAGACTCGAACTAAAGTGTTGATCGGTTAAATATCATTCGATGACTCATCCTCCTCCCCATGTATGTATATGTATTCAAATTATAGTATTAGATTTTACTTTGCGTTGCTGCGCCCTAATGCAATTTGACTATAAATTTGCTTATTTAATTGCTGGTATATACTTATTCGCCTTTCCGCTTCAAATTCGCTCGATCTGCTTATAGTTATATGGTCTGCGCTATCCGCTAATAAACTGTAGTTGCCGCCTCTCATTGCCTTCTGATTTTAAACACCGTTGAGATTTATATTATAACGGTTATCGGGCTGATCGATTAGCGAAGCAAAGCCATTATAATATATATATGGTCATGGTATTGTAGTAAATGAGGACCCAAGGGGGGATAACGGAATATACTTGAATACAAAATTACAGGATTTCTTAGTAAAATCTGGGAACCATACAGTAAATACTTCATTTGCAGAATGTCCATCAGTTGTCTTAGACTTTATTGTCCCTTTATTTCTATACCAACCACTCTCTGTTCTCATTTTCTTCTCTTCAACCTTCTGCCGCCAGGCATTCCACTTTCGGTTGGTGATGATACATACCACTTACATCTGTCAACACCACTAGCGCACACCACAGTATGAATTAATAAAAATCAATCTTCTTTAAAGCTCATTTCTCTCTGTGTTCATTTGTCCAAAACTCCAATAAACAAACTTAATCTACTAGTGTAGGTAACACTCTTTCGACGAAAGAAGGAACCATGCCATGTTAGAACTACAAACTACGATTAAGATTGTATTCGTTGTGTTGCATTATCTCCCAAATGTTTCACTTTGTATAGTCAACATCTATGTTTTAATTTAACGAAATGACTGTTTTATATATTTTTATAATCATTTGTTAAATATATTTAAAGTATTGTTGTGTCTTGTTATTGGCCTACGATGGGACGGATTTAGGGACGGAAACGACTGAGCGGTGAGACTATAATTCATGGACGACGCCAAAGTGGCCTTGAGAATGTCCACCTACTTGTTAGGGCTACATGGGAGTTGTAAACCTGTGTGAAGAATAAGGAATGTGACTTACAGTTGATAGTTAGGGTTAGGAATCAAATTTGGTTTTCATCACGAACTGACATCAGCTGAAATCCCAAAATAATCTTTAACCAAATGGATGAAATTCGCGCCAAAATCCAAGACCTGTTATCCTAAACCTGATTGATTCGACCACAAATTATAGTCTCGCCGATTGAGCTATTCTAATACGGTCAGTTCTCCCCAGAACTGACAACAGTGAATTATACTCGATAAACCAAACCTCAACGGCTAAGACAGGAAGAAGATGGAATTGCAGGCAACTTGATATTTGTGGTAGAACAAGCAACTCAAATGAAAGTGGTACAAAAGTTGTTACTGTAGTAGCAGAACATGACAACCAGAGGGCAAAGATCGTGCGGAAAATCAAAATGGCAGGAAGTATGCCAGCGGTTATCGTTCTAGAGATCATAGCCTTTCTAATAGAATTTGACTATTCTTGTGACCACCTTAGCAAGTATATATTTGCAAATAACTAGCCTAAATAAGTGAAGTAGAAGATTCAGTAATAATGGAGTTTTTTTATTAAAAAAAGACTCTATATTGACGTTATAAGAATTAAACTGTCTTCTGCCAAAAATGTGTTCGGCAACACCTAGATAAATAGACTCTAAGATTTAATAATTTCGAATAAATTGAGCATTGGGTTGATTGTTATAAATAAAAATAATATATTTGTAATATCCCAATGAGTAGAAAATCTAAGACTCTAAGATTTAGTTTAACATTACAAGAGTATTTTGGTTAGTATATTAATATCATGGCTGTTCACCACATACATTTGGATAGTAGTTTAGTGGGAAGACTATTCAATTATCATATTGAATATCTGAGACACCAAAGTCTATGTATTTCTCAATCTACATGTTACATTCTACACTGATTAAACGAATTTATTAGAGTTTAATATACTGCCACTTAAATAACTTTGTCCAAACAAACTATCCATATAGACAAAGACTTGTTTAATTTAAAAGTAATGGTCTTTAGATGTAATAAATCTTCCGATCAGAAGAGTTTATTTAACTATTACCTCAAGCAATCCCGACTACTTAGTACCGAAACTTCAATAAAACGAATCATCGATTATGTGCAGAATTACACAATAAAAAAGCTCTATAAACTATGATATCTCATGCAGAATAGATTATAGTCTCTCAAAATGTTACCAATCAAGTTTAGCGTATAAAGATGTATGTCTAAATCCCAGCGAACTATAGAAAACTCAAATGTTAATATTTTAAGTCAAACAATATCAAATCCTAGTAACCAAAAGAAAACTCTTCAATATTGTTTATAATGCAACAACGATCGAGGTTGAGCAAGACAAAAGTTATAACGAAGACAACAACAATAACCATCTAACAAATGTGTTTTACTAGATATAAATAATTTTTTATGGGATAACAAGATAAATGGGATCAAATTCAAATAATAATGATAACAATAAATTGGAACAAACAATTTGTCTATTAAGTACTGAATTCATACAAATTTTTTTTACATCCTCCTTATTTCAATGGATTGTATTGTATTATCCTTCATCATGAAATAGATCAATAACTATCGTAGAAAAAGACAGTAACATCACAAATTGACATCGTATTAGAAATGATTTGAAATAGACCAACAAAAACTAATATTGCTTTGAATAGTAGGCACAAATCCAAACATTTGTATACATTAGAATGCAAAAAAAACTGAACACTATTAATAAGTAATGGTTGCCGACATAAACTTCTTGAAATGTACAGAATTAATTTAACTAGAGTGAAATAAATAAATTGAGAATAAAGAATATACTAATGTATTTATTGAAATGTGTTCACGTGAGAAATTAGCCAGCATAGACAAAAAAACACCAAGAAGGATAAAAAATAAATCTGAGCACGATAAATTAAAGTAAACATAACAGAACTGAATTATCTTCTGTCAATCATACAAATCATTCTCCTATAATCCAAGCTGATCATCATTACGATCGTCAATCACTGACTGTTTAGACAGGAGATAATAATAATAATAACGGTATTTTACTCATAACAAAATCTGAATAAAAGAATAGATATTTGTGTCTGTGGTATATGTGCTTTGGAATACACATCCATAAACAATAGCTATTATTATTATAAGAGTGGGATGACGAAACAGATCATGAAACGACTGACGAAACAGGAGATACAACTCTATGATATTCTGGTGGGGAATGACCAAGTACAGCACCCTCAGTAAGAACTACAGTTGATATATCCGATCCTGGAACATCGTAACGTGGCTGCAAGAGTAGATTTTCCTATAGAATAAAACCAAACAACAACAAAAAGTCGAATCAAATTCACTTGTTAACATCAATGCATAAATTAACAAAGAAAGTATTTAGTTAGATACCTTCGTCTTTGTTTACCATAACTTTTGTCCATAAATCTTATTTTTACTTACTTGTTCTTTCTCTTCTTTCCCTTTCCGATTTCATTCATGTCTATAAAAATGGTTCTAATTTAATATACTTTATTATTTATATTACTACAAAGATTATGTGAAGTAGATAGATTGTAGCTAGCAACATTGGAATCTAGATATTTCATTCTACTTGAGACTCGTAAGCTGAATGTACCTGGATCCTATTATCGATATTCACATTGCATTTTGGTATCAGTGTACCTTGAGTTTCAAAAACCCAACACGTTTATCCATGAACAATTGAGTCCACATAATCAATAGCACTTTTTTCAATAGATATGAGTTAAATCCCATTTGTAAGTGGTTTATAATATCTCAAATTACTGATATTCTCCTTATAGAATGAATATATAATACAAATTAATACTGATAAAAAATTTAGTTGAGAATATCAACAAAAGAATAATTAAAATGTTAATAAATTGGATTATTACAAAAGTTGTTTTTATCCCTCATCTTTTTGAATACCATTTACTTTATGTATCACTTTCATATTTCAATTTAACTATATTCACAGTTTATACATTTTACTCTATTGATACGATATTTCACGCGTTCCATAAACAAGTACACTGATATCAATAACGTATGAAAGAACAATACAAACCAATTCAGTCAACAATATTTGATAATGTGAATAACAACGAATTATATTTAAAATAGTTATTATAATATTAATATCATTATAAAATACTAAATCACTATAGCTTCAATGAAAATTAGATTAATTTGAATTAGGTCTCATTAATTCTTGTATGGAATGTAAAAATTATAAAAATTTAAATAAAACGCCAATATCTACACCTTTTAAGAATCATTCTCTTATTTACACTGGAACTAATCAAATTAATAGTAATGCGTGTAAGTTATCCATGAAAACCACATGCAATGATCAATACGATTAGGGTGTGAATTATCAGGCAGATTAAGTAATCTTGACTAAAGTGAATTACAAGCTAACAACACTTTGACAATATAAAATTAAACTACCAAATGTCCTATAACTGGTTTTAACTGTATAAAGAAGCTTAAGTTTCAGTTGGTAAGACAATTTAATTCGATAGCTAACAGCTTAGATTTATTTACTACAAAATTACTAGCAGTAACATCAATGCAGATATTTCTTATATCGTGCTAGAAGCAAAGACAATCAAATTATACTAATTATTTTTTAAAGTATCGTGAAAAATTGTTTCCCTTGTGGGTTTTTTGTTTACTGATTCAAAAATAATGTTAACCGGTCGGCCATTATCTCCACTATATATATAGTGACTTGAACTGAAGAATCAGTGTTGTTAATAAGGAGTTAAATGTTGGAAAAGATGGAAATCTCGAAACAATTTTTTGGATTGTTATTTAGACTTTTATTAGGTAATTAGTAGATAACCGCTTTTTTAGCATTTCTATAATACCCTTATTGTAAGCTCGCAGTGAACCTACTAACTGTTGCGTTTATTTATTTATTTTAACACATAGATATTGGTACAAGGAGGCACCAAATACATATGCGCCACACAAATATCATTCGATATGTGTGAGGGCTGTGATACTGCCCGGGTTCCCAAACCGAAGCAGGTGGTTTTCTTAAGGGGTCACTCCCCAAGCCTTCGACATGAAGGTCTGATCCACAAGGCAGTGGAGCATCGTAAGGAGATGCAGTCCCATGGAAGCCGGTGACCAACAATTGGTTCGTACGCCACTTGTTCCCGCAGGATACTGGAGCCCATGTGCACCATTGGTTTGGAATCCGGTTAAAGCGCCGAATATTCGCTTTTCGTCCTCTCATTTTCGTAAACAACACCCCCGCCACGAGAAGGCAGTGAGTAGGACTTCCCTGGCAGAGTCTGTATACGCGTGGCCGTGTGAGAGCATTTCGAGAGGGAGAGCGGACTCTTCCCACTCTCGGCCGTACCAGGGCATTTGGGGGCAACTGTTGCGTTATATGTCTTACTATTCACTTATTGCTAATTATGTACTGCCTACTCTGCTCTCCTCTACTTAGGGGACGGTTGTGCTTAGAGTATGATTTCCTATTTGGTGTGTTGTATTCAGCGATTTCAAGCATATTATTGTATGCGTTTTGAGTTACAATGAAATCAAAGTATATAATAGAAGTTGGCTACTGACTTGTCTTAGGACTCAAGACAAAGAATGGGGAAAGATTTGAGTAAAGAGGACTGATAGAAATTCATGTTGCGTCACTTCATGGTTGACGATGCAGATCAGAAGTGCAATTGGTCAAGTCTAAGACAGAAAAAATTATGATCGGAATTCTAATTAGTAACTTTAACACATGATACCAATTAGAGATTTCAAGTTATAACTAAAACAGTGAAATCATATTATTTTTTCTGTTTTCCATAAATATCGTACATTTTTTAAAATAATGTAATATAATCATTGAAGTGATAAAGTTGATAACGTAGAATAAGCTCATTCATTTGGCTTAGAAACAATTTCATAATACTGAATCGATGGTTCAACAGAATCAAAGTAAATAAATATTTTGATTTTACTCAATAAGGAAAAGGCAACTACTTATCAAGTACTGAGTTATGTACTCAGATTCCTGAGGATACTTTATATGTGAGAACCAATGACATTAGTCGGCTTCTGATGCTGACACAATATGGTGTGGGTTTCGAACATGTGGCTTAGTGATTGCGAGATGAACAGTTTCACCACTGGACACCACCGTTTAGTAATCAAATCCAAGCCAGTGTACATTTACTATTTTAGGTATAATGAAGATATATAGTTATTAAGATGGACATATAAGTAGCGAAGTTTGAGTTGTTAATAAGTCAATCATTAAAACTTAAACTGGATAATTTTTGAGTCACAGTTCCGTACAATTTATTATATGAAACCTCATATTCCAACTACTAACATCATCACAAGAATTTTAACTCGTTATACATAATAAATAACAATAATTTATGTGGAAGTTATTCTGGTAACTAAATAATCCAGTAAATTTCTGCTAGGATCTGATGATAAGATAAAATATCGGAGATAAGATAAAATGGAACACAAAAATCGAATAAAAGTTTGGTTTCAAGGGTTCTATTTAAATTTAAAATTCAGCAATAGTTCCTCATTGAGTTTTATCCATGTTTATTCGACATGGTGATTAAATCCACTAAATTATTATTTCTTGTTTCCTATCTCTACAACCAATTAAACAAGCAAAATATCATTCTCTATAAACCCATTCTAAGTCTATTTATTATCGACTAGGTCATATAAAGGACATTTAGATAGATAGACATATAATTGCATACACATAAACAAACCCAAACAAATTTCTCTTAGAACTAACAGGAATACAATATTCAAGGTTAAATCATTGTAAAAAAAATATAATCGTTAAAACGACATTGTGACCTTAAACTCACCAACTCAGAAATAAAAACTGATAGGAATCATACCAACATATAATTTAACCAACATAAACAACAATGCAAACATATTTGGGATGGTATTCTCTCTCTCCAAAAGTAAAATAATGCTTAAAGATTGACTTGTATCAGCGCCTGAATTAATGATAAGGAGTCAAGTAGTTGGACGCTTCACCTGATGATCTGGTGTCTAACGAAATCTTGGCACGATTTCAGAGGGCTGGATTGACTTTTGTCAACTTGTTGCTTAGGCGAGATATTCATCTGCCAAACAAAGGACGAGTTCACGGCGCAGCAGTTCGTCCCGTTCTACATTATAACTGTGAAGTATAACCATTAAGGATAGAGGATACATGTGGGTTACTGGTATTCGACCATAGGTGTCTTTGAAGCATTGCTCGAGTATTTTGGGACCACAGAGTGAGCCATACCTAGATGTTGTATGGTATAGGAGTGGGTTGGAAGGAAGCTACCGGCAGTCAAACCGAAATATCACCAATCCACGAATTCATTGACAGTTTATCTGAACCACGTTGTCCCCATGATTATCGTAACCTTGAGTGACATGGCTGAAAACCGTTTGCAATGATAAACGTACATCCATTCTTTAACTTCCTTCAAATTCTTAGTTTCTGAATTCCCTATAACATTTTCTTATGAATTTATGTTTTCTTGAATCATATTTTCGATCCCTAATCTTTACTGTTATTATCACGAATACTGTTACTACTTTTACAACTCTGGGATTTGGACTAACAATTTCATCTCACCGTACAAATGGGGTATGGCAACTTAAGCCGATATACATACATACCAGGTTCTACGTTGCGACTGACTGAATTGGATACATTCGTACAATTTCACTTTACCTACAAATAACTAACTTGATCGTTTTACGTGAGAGAATGGCGATGAAGTTCATACACATTAGGACCACAATTAGAAAAACAATTTTTTTTCAATTGTAACATTTGAAGTTAATAAATAACAATTACAGCTGATTCATAGCCACCACCATCGTCTAAAATAGCAATCAATAACTTTTTTGGATTGATATAACCAATTGTGACTTATCTAATCATTTCTCAAATTATTAATAAACCAAAACAATGTAGTGAAACGAAGTTGTTCATCAAATAGTAAGTTCAGTACATATCTTGAAAACCTTTAACGAATAAATCACTTTAATATCCTTGGAATAACTCCACCTATAGCTCTTCTAGGGTTACCGCTGGTCCCATGCCCTGGCAAAGGAGAGTTGGGCATGGGGTCAGCAACCCCATCTGCCTAAAAATCACTAACTAAAATAAACAATCTATCCTTGAACTGATATATCTCAATAAAAATAATATTTGTTGACATTAAATTATTAAAAATAGAAGTGATTTGTTCTCATTTTATGACATCAATGTACAAAAGTTAAAGCGATAAG